ATGCTACTGCAGTCCATGGTTATTACATTAATCTGTAATATATAATACATAATATGAGCAGTCTATGCTCAAGAAGAAAGTGTGAGTGTTTTGAGTTGGAGGGGGTTTACTTGTAAAAGAGCATACAGCAGGAAGTTCACAGGTCTTAGAGACAACAGGTTTTGATTTAAGTGCTGCCACCTCATACTTGATACCTAATGTGACACTGGACATATTGCTTAAATTATCCAAAGCTGTGTTGCCTCAGCTGTAACACAAGGTAAATATATATTGCAGGGCAGTTATGAGAATGGAATTTGCACTCAATAAATTACTCAGGACTCTCTTGCAGTGTAGACCATGGAGTCACCATAAGTGTTATCAAATCATCATCCTTAGGGATGAGATGTCAGTACAACATTCCTTTATCAGGAATTCCAAGGAGAGTTCCAAGGGCAGGCACATGAGTCTGTGTCAGACACATCTTTAAATCTTTACTCTACCACTAGTTGTTTTCATTTTAGCTTTTTGAATTTCATTTTCTTTATGAGATCAAAAAATGCTTACATGGCAGAATTGTCAGAAATAATAACAAAGTGGAATTTATTCTGTTGGGCACTTCATATGTATCATTTTGTTGTATCTCCACAACAACCTATTACTTAAATATGGCCATTACTTGCATCTCTCAGTTCAGGGAATGTCATTTATGGTTAAGTGATCATCTAAGAGATTAAGTAACATGTCCCAAATTCACAGCTAAAAACTACAGACTTAGGACTTAAACCTAGGTGTTTTCTGTCTCAGAAGATGGCATATAACCCATCTGCTATCTTTCCTACCCAGCAACTTAAGTAAGATAGTAAATATAAAATGCTTAACACCTTGTGGGTCACCTAATAAGCACTATTCAGTAGGGTGCACTTGTGTCTCACAGTCATGCTTTACAGCCACAAGAATGAGCAGCCACTTCACCCTTTCCTCCCAGTTGGCAAGGAGCCACCAAACACTGTAGTTCAGGAGAAGCAGGAGGAATGGGAAAGCTGTTGCCTGATTTGTGTCAAATTCCATGCATCTAATGGACTTGTTAAAAGCACCCTAAGTAGAAAATGTGATTCTTAATGGCATTTTATAAAAGTTGCTGTGATGAATTAGCACATAAAGCAAATTAAAAACAGCTTATCATTTTTTAAATTAGGTGATGGGGCACTGTAGCATTTTTCTCAGATATGAGGATCCATTAATAACCAAAGGAACCAGAAGCTGCTGAAATGTGTCAGCTGCTTAGTTTTAGGAACCTAACAAGTCTGAATCAGTGTAATCTTAGAGGGGCAGATTGTCCAAGATAAACAGAGCTCGTGGAAAGAGTGTGTCACTAAACTCCCCGGTGAGGACATCTGTTGCTACAGGCAGGAGTGGAAAATTTCCCTTCAAGGACTGTTGAGAATGGAACAGAGTACAGCAGGATGAATGTTTGACCTGCTGGGGATAGGGACAGCCTCCACTCCTCCTCTCCCCACAAGAGGGGATGCCAAGGCTCAAAACAGAAGGGCTTTCAACAGTGTCTGAGTCAACACACCTGTGTTGAAGATCTGCATTGGGCCCTGTATTGAACTGGCTTCTGGAGTAGGTATTTAAGTGTCTTTACACAGTCCAGAAGATAGCTACTGGGTGGCTCAGTTGACCCAGCTCTCATGAGGTCAAAGCCCAATAGTGTTCAGAATAACAGTTACAATTTATTGAGTACTCGTAAATGTCAAGCTAGTTTTGCTATACTTTACATAATTGTTTCATTTAATCCTCACCACGATGCTTTGACATAGCTGTTATTATGCCATATTTTTACTTAAGAAAACTTATCACCCAGAGAAGTTAAGCAACTTGCTCAAGTTAAAAAGTTGCAAACCCAAGCAGCCTGACCATCTTTAGAAACTGCCTTCTTGGCTATCACGTGAAAGCTTTCCTGATGGCTTCTCCATCTCACTCCACATACTTTACATCCAGAAGGGGCCTGGAGCCAAGAACTTTTAAGGTAAGAAATGCTGGAACAAGAATTAAGCAGTAAAGGAGCTTCAGAAAGTAATAGAGGAAGGGGGTAAGCCTTGAAGGGAAGGTTTAAGGTCCTTAGTCCTGCTAAAGGTCACAGTCAAAGGGCAACAGCCTGGGAAATTGAGCCATAAGTGGCACAAGTGGAGTCAGACAGACCTCGTTTTATATTCATTTGTAATGTATATACAGGTCACCTGGAGCAGGTCATGTAACTTTCCAAGACTCCTTTTCCCAAGGGGTCATAACATCAAAAAAGACAATGACTGCAAAGTGCCAGGCTGTCCAGTAAGCTTGTATGTTGTGGTAGTCAGTACTGCTATGGGTTTTAGCACTTGGTTCTCACCATCACCTTCTCCCAGGTTGAATGGAAGATAAGATAAAGGGCACTGAACTAGATCTTGGATATGGAGGCCCAGACTCCAGCCCTGGATTGCTGCCATTGAGCCATAAAACCTGAAGCTAGACAGTAGGCCTCCCTCCTCTGGGAAAAGGTGGTCATACCATCTGTTGTTCCCTCTTCCCAGGAGTGCACTGAGCCACTCATCAGGTGGCCTATGTGAAAATGCTTTTCCACCTATAGAATGTGTATTGGAATTCCCCAAGATCGGTCACAGGGCTGATTTGCTACAAGGTCCACAGGGCTCAGCACACTCAAGCCTGTGGCCATGGGTTCTTAGCAGCAAAAGGATATAAAGCAGAATCAGCAGAGGGAAAGGATCATGAGTCAAAGTCTGCAGGAAGTGAGCGTGAGTGTTCGCAAGTCTTCCCTCTCTCAGAGAAGGCACATAGGACATGCTTACTTTCAAATTGTGACAGCAGGTGTGAAATGTTGCCTGCCAGGGAAGCTCATTAGAGACTCTGTATCCAGGGCTCATACTGGTTGCTGTCCACATAGGCAGCCTCTATCTGGAACATAGCACAACTGCAGACTCCCACAAGGAAAGCAGGTGCTTGGCATAAGTGACATGGTTTGTGCAGTTTAGGCACAAGAGCTATTCTTATCAGGACTAGTGGGAACCTTCCCAAATTTAAGTTCCCAGATGTCAGCCAAAAGCCACTCCTGGAAGGAGCCTTTTTAAGGATCGTGGTCTCAGCCTGTTAACTTTTGATTTATTTGTTTGTTTTGTTTTGTGCAGAGTGGAATCTTTAGATAGGAGTTTTATTGGCATCCACTCAAAAGAGAAAAGTAGTTCATACTTAGTCATGGTCACTGCGTGCCAGACATTGCAGTATGAGCTTTACATGTATTACCTTAGGTAACAGTTCATTACACAACTCCACAATGGAGGCACTGTTTTCATCATCACTATGTCATATATAGGAACCTGAAACCTACAAGAGGTTAGTTTGTCCAAGTAACTAACTGGAATAGTAGGACTAGGACATGGCCCCAAGAGTATGGCCCGAGTCTTTCCTAACCACTATGTGACTCTGCTCCATAGCACCTGCCAAGGGAAGGTGTCTTCATGCATGCCATTTCCTTAGCATTCACTGCAGCTTCATGTGAATGTAGTTATTGGAGTAATTTTGTATCAAAAACCACATGGCTCGAGAATGCTAATTAATCCATGTCTTACCACACAGCAAAGAAGTGATAGCATCAAGGGTAGCCTCTGCCTTACCCCACCCACCTTTTCTGGCTGGGGCACTGTCTGGGCCTTTGCTAGGGAAGATAGCAGATGGTCAAAGAGAAATTATTTATTCTGGGAAGCGCAGACAAAAGACTCTCCCTGAATTTCATCACTTAGGGATGAAAGAAGTGCTATGTTGTGAGTAATTCAACTCCTGCAATATTTGAGAGTTAGATGCTATCTTCAGTCCTTTTTTAGTTACCATGACAGCAGATGTGACATTTTGTTGATGGAGGAAAAATAATAATAAAAAAAAAAACCACACTTAGTTCTCAGTGGTTTTAGAAAAATATGTTCCTCAGATCTACTCATTTTGCATATATAGTCATTTTAGATGGCACAGCATTTTCTCCAAGGAAATTCTTAGAATGGAATTAAAGGAATAAGTGGGGAGGTGGTAAAATCATAATCTGTATGCATGTGATGATAGGATTTGAGAGTGGGGGTACAACAAGAGGTGGACAGTATAGTCACCTATCTATGATAACAGCTAGTCAGTAAGGTGTTTTTCACCATTTTGATTCTCCTTCCAACTTCTGCACCCCAATAATCATAGAAATTGCAGTGCATTTTGCCTTAGCAAAGGCTTGGCAAGTGATCTTCAGTGGGGGAAACACAAAATAGACAGTAAGAATTACAATTGAGGGTTGTAAGTGCAGTGAGGAGGTAGGCCTGGCATTTTATGGAAGCAGAAACATTTCAGATGTTTTAATGACTTTCATCTATCTATACATACACGTATATAAACACAGATATGTATTATTTTATTTATTCCATTTTAAGCACTTATTCAGGTTATTATATTAATCCATCAATTATCCAATATCAGTGATGGTCCAATATTTGATTGTCTGGAAGAGTGACAGTCACTGTGGGTGGACATTTTCTTTTTTTTTTTTTTTTTTTTTACCATTTTTCCCTACTATAAAGGAAAGAGTTCTACAGGCTGATACATCCAAGAGGATTTGTTGCTAACATAAAATGCTTTATTTAGAAAGATAGCATGTTTCTCTTCATTTGTTATCTCTTGTTGGTAATTTTTAAATTTTTATTCTAATGGGAGGAAAAATGTCTCAATTATGTAACAAAGTGACTTTCTTGCCTCCCGTTATTGCCTGTGACATGTGATGGTGTCCAAGATAAGAAGCAGGCCTCAGTTTTAAGGACCTGTAGGCTTCCCCTACAACCAGCAGGAAAAGCAGGTACTAATGTCCGTTTGTGGCCAAAACAGTGACTGTAATCCCAGGAAGTCATGCTGGAGTGGATATCAAATAGAAGATGGATTCTCAGTGCAAGAGAAAACTCAAAAGTAATCTTGCTGTCTTTTCTTGTTTCTTTCAGAGCAATGTTTGACTATGACAAGAGCAAGGACAGTGGGCTGCCAAGTCAAGGGCTTAGTTTTAAATATGGAGATATTCTCCATGTTATCAATGCGTCAGATGATGAGTGGTGGCAAGCGAGGAGAGTCACTCTGGAGGGAGACAGTGAGGAGATGGGTGTCATCCCCAGCAAACGGAGGTAAGCATGCCTTTTGCTCTTCAGCTCTTCAGGGAGTAGAAATGAGGGGAGAGGAAGATTGGAGAAACTTCACAAAATTACTATGTAAGTGGGATTGACGATCTACAGGAAAATTGTCACTGGTGACAGATGACATGAATAAAGAATTCTCATTCTGCTCATTAGGATTTTACCAAAATTGGTGATGGTGGCAAGGCATAAGCTAAAAAAGATCTGCATAGGCTATATTCCTAAGACCTTCTCCAGCAGCTCCATGTGCTGGCATGCTCATCACCGTGCATGCTGATTGCAAACTCAGTGGCTTTATTCCAGAGGTTCAACATGTCTGAATGAATGTTATAGAAAGGCAGGTGAAAGCCAAGTAGAAGTAGGTGGTTTATTGAGCTAAGGTCCTGGCTATGTAATATCTCCAAATATTGATGGAAAAACTAAAAACTAAAAACCTCCATCCCAAATTCAAATGCTTGGGAGATGAGCTATTGCATACCTGGTGAGGTCTAAGGACCCCACAGCTATTTTGTTACTGCTTAGTCCTGTTTCTCATCCCACAATTCCTGTAGTTTCTCAGATTTTTAGTTCTGTATTTAGCAGTATTATGTACTTTCTCTTCCAAACATGTCTTCAGCTCTGCTTTCAAAAGGCAGAAGTATTCTTCAGGTAGCCAACTTCTTCATTTTTCCTAGTAGCTTCTAATCATCACCATCAGCTTAATTTATTCCCCATGAATGTCCTTTTGGCACCAAGATGTTGTCCAAAAAACAGAAATTGACCATCTCCTAAAAAGCAGAGGCAGTAAAAACATCAAGCAGGAATGATATTTGTTCAAAGAAGTCATCAACTTGTCTCGAGCTGCAGCCTTCTCAAAGGGCTGTCATTCTTGTATCCCCAGCCCAAACACCTTTGTAAAAACTTACTAAAGCTGAGTGTTCAAGTGCTGCTTCAGACAAAGAGATACAGTGATTGAGCTACTGCAAAGTGGAGTGAAAATGTGTAAGTTATATGCCACAGTTCTCTGCGGGAGAACTGCAACCCAGAGAAGCTGGGTCTCCATCATTCTCTGCCCGTGGCCACACAGCTGAGATGGTATTTGGTGGGGAAGACAGCAGGTCACTGACTACTCCCCAGCTTCTCTTTTACCTATATGAAGAGAAGTCAGAGTGAAGAGGCCAAAATTCCAGGGAGCCTTCCCATCTGCCGTGCTTTTGCCTAGGGATCTCTTACCAGCAGATAGTTCTCTGGGTCTCTAAACCCCTGGACCCTTGGATAATTCCCTGACAGTGTTTTACAAGAGCGTTGGGACATTGAACCACAGCCTGTAGTATTTTTGTAAGGATGTATATTTGAAGCAATGATTCTTAGTACTTATCTGTTTATAATCTGTGTTTCTCCATTTCTTGTTTACTTCAAATTAAGACCGAATGTCAAGATGACATGCATTTGGTGTTGTTCTGATTTAATTAATCAAAATGGTCTGAGAAACTATTCTGTAGGAGGAGCCATCTTGCTGAATATGGCCCCAAGGATAGAAATGGAAGTGGAAGAAAGAAAGTTATGGCAAAAACAGATTTGTGCTCACTTTAAAGAAACCCTTCTACTAGTTGAAACTCGTATGGACTATCTGGGAAGAAATAAAAAAGATTGAAACTTTGGGTGGGGGGAAGTGAACTATGTAATTTTCAGCCCCTTTATATTTTCATTGACTTCCAGGAACTTTTTAATTTCCTCTTTTATTGCATCGATGATCCATTCTTCATTAAGTAATGAGTTATTTAGTTTCCAGCTGTTTGCATGGTTTTTGCCTTTACTTTTGTTGTTGAGTTCTACTTTTACTGCATTGTGGTCAGATAGTATGCACGGTATTATTTCTATTTTCTTATATTTGCTGAGGCTTGCTTTGTGCCCTAGGATATGATCTATTTTGGAGAAGGTTCCATGGGCTGCTGAGAATGTATATTGTGTAGAGGTTGGATGAAATGTTCTGTAGACATCTACTAGGTCCACTTGATCTATTGCATATTTTAGATCTTGGATTTCTTTATTGAGTTTTTGTTTGGATGACCTATCTATTGATGATAATGGGGTGTTAAAGTCTCCCACAACCACTGTGTTGGCGTTTATATATGCTTTTAGGTCTTTCAGGGTATGTTTGATGAAATTGGGTGCATTGACATTGGGTGCGTATTTCAGCCCCTTTATAATCCCGAGGTTCTATGATTGCAGCCAATCGTGTCAAAAGTCACTCATTTGTTCAATTGCTCATCATTTTCCCTCTGGGGAACATTCCCAGCACTCTTCTTCTTGAAAATATTTCCCACCTGCTGGTAATCATTCTTAAATAGGCTATTTCTCTCATATTTTGGGCAAAGCCATCTTTAGCTTAAGAACCATGCTCCAGCTGGCTAGGAAAAGAAGTTTGTTCAGTGTCTGCAGTATTGGTATTTATTTGTGCTCTGTTTCCTTGATGAGTACAGGAGCCCCATCTCACAAATACATGTTGATTTTTATGTAAAATAAAATATACTTATTTAAATGTCTTTATTTTATATAAATTTTTACCTATAAATGAATTTATGCTAATTTTTCTCATTTGGATTCTAATTATTTCAAAATGTTATTTTTATTGTTTTATTTATTTACAAAAATAATAACCTCTCACTGTACAAAAGTGGAAACTATTGAAAAATACAAGGAATAAAATAAAACTCACCATCTTATCCCACAAACAAGGCCTCATATAATAATTTTAATGCAACTTAAAATTTAAATGTTTATCAGATTTTTTAAAATTCATAATTCCTTTTTAACCTTTCTCCTGAGTATAATTCAGCTGTATATTTCCACAGCTGATATAGAAATATCTCATAATGGATCACATCAGTATATGACTTTATCCTTTACAGAAATATTTCTCTACTGATGATTCTATTTATCATCCTAATAAAACCATAAGACAAAGAATATGAATGTTGTCATTGTCCCCATCCTTTTTTGTTGAAGATGGTAAACACATTTAACTAATAAAATACTCCTATAGCATACTAGACACAGTTTTAAGGACTTTACTGTTATTAACTTAGGCCTCATTACAACCCTATGAGTAAGATGCTATTATTTTCCCCATTTTACAAATGAGGAAGTTGAAGCCCAAAGAGATTATTGATTTACCTGAAATTGCCCATCTCGTAAATTGCAAAACTGGGATTGGAATTCAGGCTACAGAATTGCTCTTAACTCATGTAATCCTGCCTCCCTAAGGTGCAAAAATAAGAACTGACAAAATTTAATAAAGCAACCTTTTATCCAAAATTTATTGAAATTTATTTATAAGTCAATAAAGCTTGGGATGTGTGTGTGTGTGTGTGTGTGTGTGTGCGCTCAACAAATCCTGTGTGTTATAGGGTCATTGCCTTGAACCCATTCATTCATGAAACATGTGACTATGCCACAGCTACCTGGTGACTACGTTCAGGAAAAGGGCAGTAGACTGAGGGACAAATGCCATCTGATTATAGCACTGACTATGCATTGCTATAACTGATTACCACCAACTGAGTAATTTATAAAGTGTCAAGATTCATTCAGGTCATGGTTCTGGAGGATGGGAAGTCCATGGTTAAGGAGCCATATCTGGTGACGGTGTTTGTATTTGTGGAGACAGCAGAATCTTTCTTTAGGCTTTGTAGGACGTAACATGGTAAGAGGAGGAATACAAGAGATAGAGCCAAATTGGCTTTTAAAACAGACCCACTATCATGACAACCCATTAAATCTTTTAATGCACAAACAGACGAATCCATTCATGGGGGCAGGGCCCTTATAACCCAGTCACCTCTTGAAGAACCCACTTCTTAATACCTCACAAGTTGTTTAAATTTTAACACTGATTTTGGGTGGAACATTAACTGTAGCACTATGTGTTGTGCCGGTTGCTTTCAAATACATGATTTCAATTTTATCTTCACAAAAGCCTCACAAGGACACTGGGGGGTCAGAGTAGTCTAATATCTTGCCCTAGGATGCATGGCCAGCCACTGGTTGGACCCAGGTCTTTCTGACAGCAAGACTAGATGTCTTTCTATCACACCAGAAGCACAACTCTAGGAGCACTTGCCAAGTGTAGAAACAGAATACTAAAGAATCCAAATACCCTGCCAGAATTGCACTGGCAGCAGGGGACTAATATGAGTACATACTTTTCTTAGACCTCTATGTGCAACTGCAAAGGTTTGCACTCTTCTCAGCCCTGTGGCCCTCAGGTCTGGTGGCCCACAGTTGGGGATCCCCTCAGAGATCCCCTCCCCTGGCAGGGAGGGGCTGACCATCAGTGAGCATCTGAAGCAGGGCACCACTATTACCTTCTTTTTTATAAGGTAAGGAAATTGGAAATAGATTTTATCATAGTAATCTTAGCACCCTGTCATGTACTGAGTTCTAACTGTATCAGACTCTGTGCTAAACAATTATATTGTATTATTTAACATTTAGAATAATTTTTGAAGTCTGTGTTGTAATTCTAATTTCACTAACATGAAAACTGAGATCTTAAAAGGCAAGTGACTTGCCCTCAGTTTCAGACCCTGGTAAAGTGGCAGAGGTAGAATTCAAACCCAAGCTTGTGTGATTTCAAAATCTGGGCTCAGCATAGAATCTCCATGTTTTGAGATGACATAGTTTGAGTGGACAAGCCAGGATTTGTCCCACAGTCTCTTAATCCAAGTGTCCATTCACTGCTCCAAAGTGACAGACCACCTGGGCTGTTGAATGACAGACTGTGTCTTATATAAGAGTTTACTCACCTACTTTCACAACAAGCCTACAGCCACCAATATAGATGATAATTTGATTTTCTCTCCCTCAAGGCCTGTGGAGCATAGACAGAGAACTCCTGGGGACTACTCATGTTCCCACTAGCCAGGGCTCTAATCCTGACCCAATTATGTGGTTGGCTGGAACCTGAAAATACCAGATGGGAGGTGGGGAAAAGGGCAAGGGAGACAGTTGGGCTCATTAAAGCATGACCATTTGGTGCTTTCTGGAAATGCTAGGTGTCAGGATTGATTGCTCAAATTTTGCAATCCAGTTTGTTTTAAGTATTGTGGTCAGTGACAAGTCTATGGTGGAGAGAATTATTTCTGCTTAAACAATCTAATTAATTGCTTCAGTCTAAGTGAGAGGAAAAGTACAGCAGTCATTGTCATTGCAATTGCATTGGTACATACAGGTTTAGACCCCGGCTGATATGCCAAATAAAGAGACATGGTGAAGGGTAGAGAAAGGAGGTTTATTACCTGGCCCAGGCCATGCTGTGGGAAGACAGCACTTGAGTTCATCTTCAGTCAACTTCAGGATTAAGACACAAACTTTAGATCTAAATAGAGGAAGAATTAGAGCGAGGGTGGGGGGATGGGGGAGCTGAGGTATGAATAGTTAAACAGTTCCTGACACAGGTGTGTTCCAATGGTCAAAGGTGGTCAGGATTGGTCAGGTGGGGCCTGGTTGACCATCATCTCAGTCCTTGTTCTCCCTTGGAGATGTTATCGCTGACATTACTTGAGGGGAGCAATCTGGTTCTTATGAGATAATTATTCCTACTCCAGGGTGTGGCCTCATCATAATAGTAATTGTCCTCACTTGGGGAAGGGGGTATGGCTTCTGAACTGCAAGGCTCTTCTATTATCTAGGTGTAGTTTCAGTCCCTTGTCATACAGATGTTATAGATTAGTCCTTTCCTTCCTAGAACCCAAGGTGATTGCAAAGTGACTACAGAGAGAGAATGGCTTAAGCAAAAATAAATACAAAATGGAGTCAGGGATGCCAAGCTTTTATCCTGCTTTTAGTTAATTCATGGGCCCAAGTAAGGAGTCTGTACTTTTCAGCAAAAGCAATTTAAGTACCTGTTACAGTACCAACCATTTCTTTAAGCAAAGGTCTTTGAACCTTAGTATCTATTTTTGCCAAAGGAGTCTCACTCAGCAAAATAATTAGAGAGGATGATGCTACACTTCCATCTAGATTATTACCAAGAGAAAAGATAGTGATATGGTGCACAACTTTTTATAGGGAGCACTGGTTGTTCAGCAAGGCACTCTAAGCCATAGTTTTTGCATCTAGTAGCCTCCATGAGAGTTCATTCAGTCATTGGACAGATTTGTAAAGCATCTACTATGTTCCCGGCTCCATGTTAATTCCCACACCATTGTATGGATCGCAGACAAAATAAGCAAAGTGCTTGGCACAGTTTCTAATACTTAGTGTGTACTCAAATGATGCTTGTTTTCCTGTTTTCAGATTTTTGAGTTTTAGGTACCAGAGAAAAGAACATAAAATTTAGGTCCCTATTTCTGAGTCTTAACTCATTTCATCAGTAAAGTAGTCTCTGAATTCCAGGAAGAGGTAGGTGCTAAGCAAGTAAGGAAGAAAAAGTAAATCACGGACCAGGGTAGAGGTTTGCAGAGAGTCTGCAAAGGCAATTAACACAGGTCTTTGTGCTGGAAAAGCTTCCCTGTGGTTACTGGTATACTGAGCACATAGACCAAGTGAACATGTGCGATGCAGTGTTACAAACAGACAATTAGCTAAGCCGATTTCCAAAGCAAATATATTCTGAAATTTTAGACCAGCCTGTTGTGTTGTGTTGCTACCTCACTGATTTTAAGCTGAAATCTTATAGTTTATGTAATTCTGGACAGTTGAGCAATAGGCATGGAGGAGTGCTTATCACTTATGAAAAATTCAGCCTACACTTTTAAGGGTATATATTGGCCTAACAACTGTGAATGACCCATCCAAAATCTAATGTTTGTTGAGAATTTCTACCAGGCAAGGCAGGCAGGACAGGTCTTTGAGTGCCATTCCTCCAACCATGGGATTGTAGAAGGACAGGAAGTTAGCTATCAGAGATGGACATTCTGGTTTCTACCACCCTCTAGCCTGGCAAGCTTCAGGTCTCAGTTTCCTCATCCATAAAATGGGGTTCATACCACCTACATTGCTGGGTTATTCTGGGGACCAAATAAGGTGATGTAAATATCACCTTCATTAATAATTTTATTCATCAATAATTTTATACTAAAACTTCAGCTTCCATTTACATTATCATCATTAATGAAACTGTGCACCAAAATAAGCAAAACTTTCCTACTTCCTTTATGAATGAGCCAAAACTTTGATAATCTTTCAAATTTTTTTCTGTTACCTGATTGAAGGTTAATAATCAACCCTAGCAAATATTATAAAAGTATATGTGTATGCATTTGCGTCTGTGACTCTGACAATAGTCCTTATATACCTTTTAAGATTTAAGTGATGAATCTCAGAAATTCACCTAATAGGGACATTTCTTAAGAATACTGAAGGCTGGTGCAGTGGCTCAAGTGGTAAAGTACCTGCCTAGCAAGCATGAAGCCCTGAGTTCAGACCCTGTACTCCAATAAAAAAGAAAACCAGGATAAAAAAAAACAATAAAAGTAGAAACCAGAAGAAAAATTAGAACGCTGTGCCCACACAGTTCTTTGATTTAAATACTGAATTCAGTCTTATATTTATGTATGTTTGGGGACTGTGTGAATTCTGAGATTTATGCAGAATTCATTTGCATGCTCTGACCAAATAATCATGTATTCGCCACAGTCATTTTGACTGTTCCCATCATTAGCCTAATTGATGCAGAGAAGCCTGAATAAAGTTAGAGCTCTAACAAGTTTTAAAAGAATCCAGAAAGATGAATATGAATTATCATTTGCACTTGGATTAAAATTGAGAAAAACTGAAGCTTAGAACAGGCCTTTTCCCAGTAGACATCTTTCCAGTTAGCAGCTTAGCTTATCTCAAGTCTTTCTTGCTCTGCTCCCAACTGTTGTATGTTGGATGCAGGTCCAGACTCTCAGTAGAATGTATTGTTTTAATATCTGAGGTTAGATGTGAAAATTTTTGTTCAGCTGCTTGCACTCAAATATTCTAGTCTCACACTAAAATAAATACATTCTGAAACTTCATTCTGTAACTATAGAAACCCTGATTTTCAATGTGTTTCAGTTAGAAACACAAAAGAGCTCTCAGTTAGAAAAGAGTGTGCTGTTAATTATTGATCTATGAATAGCTTAAGACTTCATAAACCATTAGGTTTCTATAGATTCAGGATTTTTTTTCCTCTCTTTTCTTTCCCCAGAAAGAAAAAATTGAAATCAAAACTAGCCACATTTAAACAAAGTCATGTTCAAACAATTCACAGAATATCACTTTTGTTCAATAATTTATAATTCATATTTATAGAAGACTTTCTGTAATACATCTATTAAGTGATATATGGGCTAACCCTCAAGGAACTTTGTATCTGCAAAGCAAAAAAATAAGTGAACAGTAGGAACTTAAGATGTGATATCGACATAGAGATAAAATTAAGTGCCATCATGGCTTAGAGGTAGGGAGGACCATGTTTATTTGGAGAGACTTGGAAATATTTAAACTCCTTTTTCTTTTTTTTTTTTTTAATCCTGGCCTTCAAATAAGTGTAAGTCCAACCAATTTTATCTTCCTGGAATTTCTAAGTCCTTGCCTCTCCCCTACCTCATTATCATTTTCCACCATTTATTGCATAGATTGTGGCAACAGCTTCTAAATAGGCCCCCAGCCTCCTTCTGTTCCATCCCTTCTAGGATCTGTCTCCCACCTGCACCAGATTGTTTATTTAAAATACGAATTTGATTTTATCACTTCCTTGCTTTATATCATTTTATAACTCATAAGGATTCTCTAAGGAAAAGACTCAAGTCCTTGAAGAGGATCAATGCCCTTTATAAGGGGCCGCATTGCCTCACTAGCCTTGCCTTTGTATCCTGTTCATACCCCTTACCAGAGTCTCCCTGCAGTCTTGAGCTCACTCATATCCCTGGCTCAGTGCACTATTGTTCCTTCTGTCTGGGAATTCCAGCTGAATATTTCCTACTGACAACCTGTTTCTCATCCTTCTAGTTTCAGATACATGGACACCTCCTGGAAGGAGTCCACCCCAGTGCTTTCCATCCCTCTTTTCTCCCTCCCAGTGAGATAAAGGAACCCACACTGGTATCAACAGTCTTACTGCAGAGCACTAGCAGCCTCAAACAATCTCTGTTCTTGTCAAGAGCTCATTACCAGGAGCTCATTACATGCTTTAAATATTTCTGTTTTCCAGCATCTTGCTTGATACATGGTAGGCATTCAGTAAGTGTTCGATGAATGAATGAATGGTGGGTAAAATGATGAATCTGCAGGGCATGGAGGGTTCCTTCAAAGGTCAGGCTTCTTTGAAGGAACATTTAGGATTATATATAACACATTTGTTACATATAACAAAGGAGGAAAGGGGAAGAAGAGTTTGTTTCCTCTCACTATAGGTAGATGTTGGTCTCTATGGGCTATGATTTCTTGAAGTAGATTTTTACTGATTGATTTAAGCATTTAAATAGCAAAATACTGTGGTTTTTATTCTCTCTCTTCCTTCCAAATACTGTGACTTTTAATATATGTAACACAAAAATTTCAAGGGATGTATTAAAGCTTTATTCCAAAAAGCTTATAAGCCTTATTCCAAGCTTTGTTTTTTGGTTTGAAGTTTTGTTTTTGGTTTTTTGTTTCTTTGTGTTTTGCATTACTGGGGTTTGAACTTGGGGTCTTGCACTTGCTAGGCAGGCACCCTACTGCTTGAGCTACAGCCCCAGCCCTCCAAGACTTTTTATACTGAACAAAGGAACAGAAATATTCTAGAACACATTTTATTTGCATCATAAGGATTAAAAGGAAGAGTTATTCTTTACTTAATACGAAATTGGATCATAGATACCTTGTTATGTGACAGACTATTTTCAATTTTCTTTAGAGTGGAAAGAAAGGAACGTGCCCGATTGAAGACAGTGAAGTTTAATGCAAAGCCTGGAGTGATTGATTCAAAAGGGGTAGGTACAAAGTGATGGAAACATTGTTCTCTTGGTTGCCATGGATTTAGTGATAATTAACATTTAGGCTTTTAGTAGCAAACAAATTATGAAGCCGCTACACAGTAGAGCACTGTTATAAATGCACTACCAAAAGGAATAATGTCCTTTCTTAAAGTGGATTTGTTATAAATGTGGTAAATACTGGGGGTGAAGTTAGTGCTGAGCAGAAATGTGCTGATGAAAATGATGTAATGACCACAATGAAGAAGATACAGGTCAGGTGTTTTTAAGTTGTCGTTCTTTCACATTGATGTTCTAAAAGCCTGGGTTTTATTAGAGGTATCTGTGAGCTTGTTACACATTATAAAGTTAAGAGACAGTCATGAGCACATACACGTGGATCATTTAAGTGAATATGTGGATTGTTGTGACAGACATAGAAAAGGAGAAAGTTAACAAGTAAATCACCAAAATTAAAATATTCACTGACATACACGTGTACCTTTTAAAATAACTGCTTTAATGAGATATAATTCACCCTCTTAAAGAGTATACTATTCACCTTCTCAAATTTAGAATTGTGCAACTGTTACCCAAGTCAGTTTTAGAGCGTTTCATCACTCTACAGAAAAATCCTGAATCTGTTAGCACTCATTTCCTTTCCCTCCAACCTCCCACCCCTGCCCAGCCACACACAACCACTAATCTGCTTTCTGTCTATAGACAGATGCCTATAAATATTTCATATATTTGGAATATGTTATATGGTCTTTTGTGACTGCTTATTCTACTTTATATAAGACTTTCGAGATGTATTTAGGTTGTCACATGTATAAGTACTTCATTTCTTTTTATTGCCATATAATATTCCATTGTATGTTTATACCACATGTAATATATCTGTTCTTCAGTTGATGGACATTTGAGTGGTTTGTAGTTTTTGGTCATTGTGGATAATGCTGCTATGAACATCTATATACAAATTTTTATGTGGAGATCTATTTTTATGGCCATTGAGTATATATCACATTGAGTATATACCACAATTGAATATATACTATTGTCCCATCAGCAATATGACAACTTTGTGCTTAACATTCTGAGGAGTGGCCAGCTTATTTTGCAAAGTGGATGCGTAATTTCACATTTCCACCAGCAGGGTGTGAGGACTTCAGTTTCTCCACATCCTCGCCAATACTTGTTGCTATATGTCTGCCTTAGAGTCTCCGAGTTTGGTGGTATGGAGTGGAATCACTTTCACATTGTGGTTTAGTTTTAATTTTAATTACCATGTATGAGTTGTATAAGGGCTTTCATTGTGATAGCTCTGTACATGCATACGGTGTATTTTGATCAAATTCACCCTCTCTACTACTTGTTCCCATCCCCCCAATACTTTTAAAACTAACACACACACACACACACTCTTTTTGGCAGTACTAGAGGTTGAACTTTGGGTCTTGAGCTTGCTAGGCAGGCACACTACCACTTGAGCCACACCCAAGCCCTGGAAATAATTTTTAACAGGTTTCATTATTCTATTTTCAAACATGTGCATAAAGTTCTTGAGGCATGTTCATCATGCCTCACCATCTCCTTCCCCCTTTCTTGCTGATACCCACCACCCAGAAATCCTTGGTTTACATTCCAGTTATAAATTTTTAAGGGGAAGATTCCACATGTGAGCGAGAACATATGATATTTGTCTTTCTCAATCTGGCGTACTTCGCTTAATGTGATGATCTCCAGTCGATCCTTTTTCCTGCAAACAATATAGTTTCATTCTTCTTTATAGCTGAATAATACTCCATTGTGTGTATATTCCTCATTTTCTTTATCCATTCATTAGTTGGTCACCAAGGCTGATTCCATAATTTGACTGTGGTGAATAGTGCTGCTATAAATCTGGGAGTGTAGCTATCTCTATTGTAGGTTGACTTAATTTCTTTTGAATACGTGCCCAAGAGTGGCAGAGCAGGATCATATGGGAGTTCTATTTTTAGTCTTTTAAGAAACCTCCATACTGATTTCCATAGTGACTGAACTAATTTATACTCTCACCAATACTGTACAAAGGTCTCTTTTCCCTGCATCCTCACCAGCATTTATGGTTGTGTGCGTGTGTGTGTGTGTGTGTGTGTGTGTGTGTGTGTGTCGACAGTAATCGGGGTTGAACTAGGCAGTTGCTCTAGCACTTGAGCCATATCCCCAGCTCCTTTTCATTTAGGGATTTTTCAAAGAGGTCTCAGATTTATGCCCAGCCTGGACCATAAGCATCCTATTTGTGCTTTCTGTGTAGTTGGGATGACAGGAACATGCTACCTACCCAGCTTTTTATTGCTTGATAAGTGGTCTCTGAAACTTTCCCCTGGGCTGTCCTAGAACCATGATCCTCCTGATCTCCACCTCTCAAATAAGTAGGATTACAGATGTGAGCCCCTCACCCAGCCTGTTGTTTGTTTCTGGGTGATAGCCATTCTGATTGGTGTGAGATGGAACTCATTTTGATTTGCACTTCCTTTATGCCTAAATATGTTGGATAAAAATTTCTTCATGTATTTATCGGCCATTTGTACTTCTTTGGGGAACTGTCTGTTCAGTTCATTTACCCATTTATTAATTGAACTGTTTGTTCTTTTGGTATTTAATTTAGAGTTCTTTATATAGCCTGGATATTAATCCTTTATCTGATGAATAGCTGACAAAGATTTTCTCCCTTTGTGTAGGTTGTCTCTTGATTCTGGTAATTGTTTCCTTTGTATGCAGAAGGTTTTTAATTTGATGCAATCCTATTTGTCAATTCTTGCTCTTATGTTCTGAACAACTGGAGTTCTATTCAGAAAAGCATTACCTATGCCTATATCCTGCAGGGTCCTCCCTATGTGTCCCTCTAATCATAGCCTTACATTTAAATCTTTGATCAATTTCAAATTAAGTTTTGTACACAATGTGTTAGGGTCTAGTTTCAGTCCACTACATGTAGATATTCAGTTTTCCCAACACCATTTGTTGAAGAGGGTGTCTTTTCTCAAACATGTGTTTTTGGTACCTTTTGAAAATCAGATAGCAGCAGCTGTTTGGGCTTATTTCTGGATCTTCTACTCTATTCCATCGGTCTGTTTGTATGTTTTTGTGTCACTGTCATGCTATTTTTGTTACTGTGGCCCTGTGGAATATGCTGATGGCAAGTATTGTGATACCTTCCAGTGTTGCTCTTTTTGCTCAGTATTGTTTTGACTATTTAGGGTCTTTTGTGCTTCCATATGAATTTTAAGATTGACTTTTCTATTTCTTTGAAAAATGGCATTGGAATTTTTACAGGGATTGCATTGAATCTATGGATTGCTTTCAATATTACAGCCATATTAATTTTCCCTATCCATGAACATGGGAGGCCTTTCAAGGTCTTTCCATCCTCAAGTGTCTTCAATTTCTTTCTTCAGTATTGTATAGTTTTCATTGTAGGTATCTTTCATTTAGTTACATTAATTCCTAGCTATTTAATTTTTTTGAGGCTTTCATGACTAGGCTTATTCTCTCTCAGTCTGTTCCTTATTGGTATATAGAAAAACAGCTGATTTTTTGTGTTGATTTTGTGTCCTGATACATTGCCAAGCATGTTTATCAGATCTAGTTTTTTGGTGGAATCTTCAGGGCCCTTAAAGTATAGTTTCATATTATCTGTAAATAAGAACAATTTGACTTCTTTCTTTCTTATTTGTATCTCTTTTATTTTTTCTCTCTTTATTGTTCTGGCTAAGAATTCTAGCACTATACTGAATAAGAATGGAGAGTAGATACCCTTGTCTCATTCCTGACTTTAGAGGAAAAGGTTTCAGTTTTCCCCATTTAGGACAATGTAAGCTACAGGTTATCATATACCACCTTTATTATGTTGAGATATGTTCCTTCTATTCTTGTTTCTTCAAAGCTATTATAATGAAAAGATGTTGCACTTTGTCAAAGGTTGATCATGGGATCTTTTGTTTATGTGTTGGATTATGTTAATTGATTTACATATTTTGAACCATCCTTGCATTCATGGAATGAAACCAGCTTGATTATGGTGCTTGATCTTTTTAACATGCTGTTGAATTTAGTTTGTATTTTATCGAGAATTTTTGTACCTATGTTCATCAGGAAAATTGATCTGTAATTTTCTTTATTTTTTATGTCCTTGTCCACTTTGGATATCAGGGTTAAAATGGTTTCAGAGAATGAGTTTGTAGTATTCCTTCCCTTTCTATTTTATGGAATTGCTTGAGGAACATTTGGGTCTTTTACTGTCTTGGTAGTGTCATTTGAGGTACAAGTTTTTAATTTTGATGAAATCCAATTTGCCTGTTTTTTCTTTTATTACTTATGTTTTTCTTGTCCTACCTAAGAAACCATTGCCTAATCCAAGGTCCTAAAGATTTATGTTTTCTTAAAGGTCTAGTAGAATTCAGCAATGAATCCATCTGGTCATTGACTTTTCTTTATTGAAAGACTCCTATTGCTGCTTCTATTTCATTGCTTATTATAGATCTGTTTAGGTGGTTTATATCCTCTTGGCTCAATTTTGATAGGTCATATGCATCTAAAAATTGATCTGTTTCTTCTAGATTTTCCAATATATTAGAATAGAGATTTTTGAAGTATTTCCTAATGATCCTCTGGATTTCATTGGTACCTGTTTTGCTATCCCCTTTATCATCTCTAATTCTATTAATTTGGGTATTCTCCCTGTTTTGTTTTGGTTAGTTTGGATAAAAGTTTGTCAATCTTGTTTATTCAAAGAACCAACTTTTTGTTTTATTGATTCTTTGTATTGTTCCTTTAGTCTCCATTTTGTTCATTTCTGCCCTGATCTTTATTATTTCTTTCTGTCTACTACTTTTGGATTTTGCTTGTTCTTTTTTTAAGAGCTTGAGATGTATTGTGGCAACTCTGGCTTACCTGCAATTAGCTTTCCTTTTTCAGTCTAGGTCTCCAGTTTGATGTTTCTTTTGTGGTGTGATGGGTGGGAGCCTCTCTTC